ATCGGTTGACCTATAGTGCCAAATACGGCGGCAGCTTGCAGAATGCAACTGCGATTTCAGCATGAGTGGCACCACACTCCGGACAGGACAATGGTCTGAGGAGCCTAAAGGGGCGTCGACGGAAATCTGATATCCGTCCGGGTGAGAGGTCAGCAGAAGGTCCAACAGGGAAGATCCTCCACATCTGGAATCCATATGCCAAGGCAAATTCATGAACAGATCCCCGCATGATCGGTTAAACGTGAACCAAGCAATTCGGCGTGATGGTCGTTTAAATCGCCGAGGATCACGATTTCTGCGGAGGGGATCTGCTGTAGCAACGAATCTGTAGCCATTTGGACGTGGTCGAAATGTCGGTTTGTTTAGCCATTACCGCTTTGGGACCTATAGAGGCACCCGTAGACGCGCGGATGGTCGTCGATGTCTACGCGTAGTCAAATGATGGACAGGTCAAAACCTTCAAGACTGCCGAGGCGCCGAGAACAGATGTCCTCTCTGACTTAAACGCAAACTTCAGCCCGAGGCCCAAAGGACTGTTCCTGTTTGTACCCCGGGCAGGAGAGTTACGAGACATCAGCCGGAGAGGATACCTGTGTCTCGGTCAAAAAGAGCAGAAAACGACTCCCTGGCGCAGTGACTTCCTAATGAGTGGCTGCGGTGGGGGTCGCGGGTTTGACTCCCGCACGGAACAAGTATTTATATGACCTACAAATAATTGTTCCGGGTCTGGATGTTCGTCCTTGTGCAATTTACGTTTGTAAACTACCCCCACGATACAGGAGAAATTCAAACATTTAAAAAAAATTGAAAAAAGAAAAAAGAGCCGGCCTCGCCGTCTCGAGATGGTAGTGGACGGCGTTTAGGTTAGAGTGAAGTCCCCTGATATTGCAGAAATTCACGGATAGCGTGGTAGGGGTCGGGTCACCTTGCTCTTGATGCTCCGTTTGCCCCGAGCACTTGTAGTCTTGAGCGGAATCCCCCCCCCCCTGAATACGTGGGGCAACCTGAGCACCTACGCTCAGGAGTGGAGTAACTTGGTCGTGGATACTTAGCGAGGGATTATCCAGGGGTGCTGGTACCCTCCTGGGGTAGTCTAATATTTAATTCCGCTACCACGTTGATGGAGGGGGGGGGATTAGGCCTCCGGCCACCTGCACTCACCAGACGAATCGCGGAAGCAGAGCCTCCACTTCGCGCCGGTATTCTGTGGGGTCGTGGTACCACCCCGGTTTGAGCCGGCCCATACGTGCAACAGCAAAGCTGCTGCATGCTCTACCACTGTTAAAAAGAAAAACAATTTAATTTTACATTACGAGCGTGTATAAGGTTCCAAAAATCTGTTGATATGGGCCGGGTTTAAAAAATGATATAAGGCTATAGAATGCTTTAAAGGCTTTTATAAGAGCTTTGTTGAGATAAAATCTGAAATGTTATAAAAAAGTTAAATGAAATCAACGTATAATTTAAGTCAAGTAGACACTTAGGAAAATTACATCGTAGTTTAAGATTGAGGCTTGTTTACTTGTAGTTTTTTTAGTACAGACAAGAGTTTCTGTTTTCATTGTTGTAAACAGCGTGGACTTTTCTTTTGCTAAAATTGTACTAGATAAAAAAATATTATTATTTATGTACGGTCGTATACCGCTTATTTTTCGTGACTGTACGGTTGCAATTTAGCTACTTGGATAGTACCTAGTATAGTGATACCTCGAAAAGTCTGTGGTTTTTCTATTTCACATATTTTTTAGTGTTATAGAATACGAACCAAATTTTTGGTATATGATTTTTGGCTAGATGACCTTGAATTTCATAAAAGGAAAACGTGATAACATGTAATTTTCTCGATAGAAAAAAATTGCATAGTAGGCTCTAATTAGTTACGTTTCGCCATGCACCACAATATTTTTAAGAATAAGTTCATGAAATTATTTTTAAGGCATAGTAAATAAACATATCTTAGTTCTCATAAACCATTTTTTATGCCTAACAAAGTTTTGTTAAGAAAATGTTGTTTGGCGCTTACTTAGTTTTTTTCCGAGCAAGTGATCGGTATAGCTATCTCATAATTTGCATATTATTAAGTCATTGCATCACTTTCATTCTGACACCCCCACAGTCGTCCGTGAGTTTCACCGACAAAGGGATAAGCCACGTCCCCAAAACTATGATTTATTTTCAAGGTGTCTTCTTAATGTGGCGTTATTTAGAATTAAGATAATAAAAGACCAACAATTGTATTCATCTTTAGTTTTTACAAAAAAATATCTTACATGTTTTCGGAAAAAATATAACCTAGATCCTTCCTGGGATTGCTCTCTATCAGTTCGTAAAGTTTCATCACAATAACAAAAAAAAATGTCAGCCATTTTGAAGATTAGCCTTAGACAGACAGACAAACAAATTTTTTAAATATGGTTAATAATTAATGGCCTTAATAGCATGCCAATAAACCCTAAGCTTCATTAGTAACCGGTTATTTTAATACTACAGACAGACAGTTCAATTTTATTTATATGCATAGATAACTGGCAGAATTTCATTCTCTTAAAAATTAATCATTTTTAAACATCACTACTTAACATCTACCCTTTTGTCCAAGTATGCCTGTAAGTACAGTATTGTTAAATTGTACAACTCGCGGCACGAAAGTCTAGCGGTGACCGTTATTGCGCATAATTGGCCGTATTGAGCATTATTGCGTATGATTGGCTGTGCGTCTCCCGTACTGATATGACATTCGCAGATATCCCCTCCACGTTTCGTTCAGCGCTGGTTACTTATAAGCGACACTAATTTAAAAAAAAATGCTTTAATGAAGTAGTTTCTTCTGACGTATGGTTAGCATTCGCTTTGCAAGTAAATGTTAACTGAAAACGAAATAAACTGTAGTTTCATTTCTATGAATACTCTTTTAGGAATATTTGAATATGTCGTATAAATTCATTGTTCTTTGTAACATCAGCTGTTCAAATAAATAGAGCTAATGTAGAATACGAAAACAAAATAACTTAAAAATAGAGATTAGATTTTGACTTTTGATTTTATTAACTTTGTCATCGTTCACTACACGACCTGCGAATACATAGTTTATTATAACTAACAACTGACGAGATATGAAGAGGTATTTAATAAAATAAACTGGGTAAGTTTGTAACTTTTAGGCGATAGTTTTAGCCAGATTATTGTTGGCACCAACAACGTTTAACTTGTTGACATTTTATTTATTATTATTAGTTTGAGCTTGATGTGAATTAGTTTTTTATTGTTTACATAATGTAAAATAACTTCCAATATTTTTAATATAAAAAAAAACTAAAATTATTATGAAGTCCAACTTTATAATATTTTTATGTAATATAAATTGTTGTTACGCAATATCTGTGTGTTTGTTTTTAAGCTATTATAACATAATATCCTTCGTAGATTAGGCCGCTATTTTTATTAAGAAGTTTCTTCTTGAATTATGGATAATTACAGCAGCTTTTGTGCCTATACAAAGTATTGAATGAATGGCGAGGGTTCTTTCTTCCTATCAAAAAAGGGGGGTTGTTGGGCCTAGAATTTGTCTTGGTTTTCTTTTTTTTTTTTCTGCCAAACGCACCCAATGACTTGCTATACCAAAATGTACTAAGGTCTTGTAATGTAAAATGTCACAATTCTAATTTGAAATAGACTTTTGTAATGAATACTTAATCGATGCGGCCGCTTGTCCTGTGCGACCTTTTATGTAAATGTTACTAATGAAAAGACAAAAATAGAAATGCATCAAGAATTTTTGTGTTTTATTTTAAAGTGTAACAAGCGTCACAATAGTAATTAATAATACATTTGGAATGAATCTGCTATATTTTTTCAATATGAGATGGTGGAATTTACTTATATTCAAAATCATTAGTCGAATAGTTGCTACTAACATTTTCATACCAGCGTCAGGGAACGAACTTAGGCCGCTCACGTATGTTAAAATTTTAGGTGAGCTGTAATGTCTGTCAAAGTTGACAAGTTAATTATGTTAGTTCATTTAATAACCCCTTATATCCACTACTGAAAATAAGCCTGGACTTTTAGAGACAAAGCTTCATACAATCGCGCTAGGTACAAACAGTACTAACAACGTTGAGTGTGTGACGTCTCGGTGAAGAATTACTACGCTGTTACTTCGGCCCGGTCAGTTGACAAACAATCTCAAGGCGCGCCACGCGTTTTTACTATTCAAATAACAGTTTATACAGATGAGTGAATATGGTAAATATGACTATTTACTGTACAATGTGTAAAAAAATACGATTTAAAATTAACCATAAATAACACTAGCTGGTACCCGGCGCTTTGCTGCCCTAGAAAAAATAAATGTGGAATTATCATTTTAAATTTGAGAGTTATATTCCTTAATTAGGAATGATAAATAAATTCATAGAAATTGAATAATATATGATTTTTTTTAATAAATTTGTCAGTATTGATACGCACATCACCTGCTGTAAGTTAATTGTACTATGCCCATAATCTTCGCGCAAGTGCAAGGCATAATACGAGCCTTTTCAGGAAGAAGATCGTAACCGCCATTTTGCATATTTTACAGGAGAACGTTTTTTTTAAGTATTTCTCAAATTATTTACAGCATCAATTTGAAATATTTACTTGGTGTTATATGGGCACCTCCCTATTAATTCAAATGTTAAGATTTGACTTAGTGCTATAAAATCACATACATTTGTCGCTTACGTTAAAACTGATGACCGTTATTATGTAGAGCTGATATGAGTATGTCGATTACGATAATTCTTAAATATCATAAAATAGTAGAAATAATATTTCTATTATAAAATATTTCTAAAATAATATTATTTTTTGTTTTTTTTTTTAATTGTTTTTACGAGATACCATGCCAGGCAGAGAAGGACAAAGAGTCAGAAATACAAAAAAAGTAAAAAAAAAAATTGTAGGTACTTCTAAGTGAATTTGAGCTTTATTAATAAAATGAAATACAAAAAGAGTCATCAGTCCTCGTCTTCATCAGTCTCAGGTAAAGCGTCTCTTGTGTTTCTATCGCAGGGCAAATCCAGATATTCTTTTGTATAAAATTCTGGTATGATACCCTTTTCGCACATTTTCTTTAAATCTTCGTATCTCGCCTTCGAGATGGGAAGTTTTTCAGTGTAAGCAGTTTTAGGTTCACGAATAGCTTGTTGATTCTGCCGAGACCTCAATATAAGAGACATTTCAATAGCTTGTTCGGGTCCATCATAGTCGTATTTAAGATAGAACTTGTCGCCTTTTTCAAATCTAGCGTTACGCAGCTTGCTTGTTTGTATTTTAATTTTGTTTGGTAAAAAGGCTGTTGCATAGGAATTCCAATCTTTAATTTCATTATTTTTTAAAAGAATTGTCTCATATTTTTTGGGATTTGTCCGAGCATTTCCAATCAAAGTTTGCCATTCAGATGGTGCGTAAATAGTTCTTTTCTGTATAAATCCTTCTATTGTTGCATGCACAGAGTCTACTGGCATCATGGTATGTCCAGGAATGAGGAAGTTTATAGTCAGCCTTTCAACAAAACTCGCATGATATTGCATGAAATAATAGAGCATTACAATCATGGCTTTATTTTTATTTTGTCCTGCGCAACTGTCACAGTATAATGCAACTTCATTTTGGGTCCTTCTCTCGTCAACCATTTTAAGGTATTTAAAGATAATAGTACAGATTTCATTACACCCTCTTTTTGCTTCCGTTTCGTTCCAAAGATAACAAAATACAGATCTGGTACCGCTTTCATAAATGCTTTCATTATAATAGGCAAGCTTTCGAGTATAGTAGAAATTTACACTTTGACCGCGAGGTGTTGTTAAGACCTTTTCAAGATCAAAGCTTGCACACAAAAAAGTTTCTGTTGTCTTTGCTTCTTTTTTGATCCTCTAGAAATAGCTTTAATGATGTTTCTTTGTCCTTAATGTGATTCTTGTAAGCATCTGATTCTATCGCTTTTTTTCTTTCTTCATCATTTAAATTCTGTATTCTCTCACATTGATCACATTTATCTTTCTTTTGTAAGCGAAACCCTAAGTTAAATTCAGTCTTAAATATTTTTCTAAACTTCTGATAACTTACTGCGCCTAACTCTTTCGTATCATCGTCTTTCAAATAAAAGTTTCTATATAAATAGGTCACATCCCTAAATTCAGTTGGTAAGTACAATTTGTTACTTTTGTTTCTGCAATAGTGTGATTGAACGGCAGGTAACTTTTTTATAAAATTATTGACGTTTTGAGTTTGAGATTGACTGTATTTATTTAAAGGCGTTCGTTTGCCGCGTTGGTCAGGTTTTGACAAAAACTTGCAATTTTATGTGATTTAGTGCAACGCAGTGTCATTTGCGAAATATCAAGGGTTTTCAAAAGAAACTGTTGACAAATTTTAACCGATTCAGTGCCCTTTGGTAAGTAATAATTGTAACTTATTTTTCGACGATCACTTTCTGCTCTTTTTCGACCGATTTCACATTCCTTAATACAAGATAAAATAAAATCTCTTTGTCTTTGTAAGGATCCAAGACCCCAATAGAGTTCATGGACGCAGTTTCTCTCGATTTCAGTAAACTTATTAGCGCAGTCATTCCCGCATTTTTTACCTAAGCAGGGATTAGCTTTGACAGATTTTCCTTTTCCAGACCACCTCTCAGACCTTTCTTTTAGTTTTTTCGGTAGTGGTCGTTTCTTCCGCATACCCTTTTTTACCAACGATACCTGAGTCTTCCTCTTCTGTGCTATCAGAACTTTCTTTGGTTGAGTCCGAACTTTCAATTATCGTCGTAGGAATTTGAATAGCAGACGTAGATGGGCAAGTGTAGTCGTCCATACTTGTAAATACTAGCCTTTTCTTTTTTCTTCTGATAGGAATATGCCAAGACTGGTCAGAGTCACATCCACTAAAATCCTTTTCTACTTCAGAGTTTTGGTCGGTAGACGAGCAATATGTAGAATCAGAGTAGTCAACTAAAGCATTGGATGGTATAAGTTCAGCCATCTCCTCAATTTTCTGGAAGCGAAATAAAAACGCTATACAAATGCAAATCACCGCCACCCAAACAAAAGTTAAAGCACGAAAAAAGAAAAAAAACTGTGAAGGAAATTTAAGATTTAGGCATAACCACTCATAACGTATTTAATTGAAATGATACAACTTGTCATCAAACTTAATAACATCCAGTAGGTAATTTAACTTATTTATGAAGTCAATGCATTTAATCAAACCCAGAAAAATAATTAGTACCTATATTATTTTACTTAAGTCTCTAGTGCTAAAATACCGCCCACCTAATTATTTTTGTTCACATCACACGATTCAAGTAGGTAATTTAGTTTCACGTTTCACTTACCTTGTCACAAAATACTTATTAATTTTTATATATTATATTAGTAATATAAAAATCTTATATTGAAGATATATAAGTATTACATTCATATTTGAAGATGATGATGGTTATTGAATTATTGTTTTTGAATAATATGTTTAAATGTATCCACATTCATTAGCTTTTTTTTTCAACAACAGTCCGTAAGCCAAGTATTCATTCAGAAACAATGTTTCGAATACACAGATTCTGAACAACACATCAGTTGCTTAGGTCATGTCACCCGAGGAAGTAGTGTAAAAAGAAAATAAAAAGACCAAATTAGGAGTAAGTACCCTTAACCGACGAGCACATATGCGTAGGTATATGGATGTGGAGGAGGCGAGAGAGGTGTGCCAGGATCTTGTCAAATGGAAGTCTGTAGTCTCTGCCTACCCATCCGGGTGACAGGCGTGAGTGTTTATGTATGTATGTATGTAGAAAATAAAAAGATGGTGGGTCAGGAATTACTTACTAAGAAAACAAGACGTATTAAGTGATTTATGCATGTTTGATGGATCATTTGTAATCCTTTGTCCAGCAATCCCATAATATTCGCTTTTTCTTAAACAGTTCTATTAATATTAAAACAGTTTCATCGTTTCACACTACGGCCATGTTTATAAACAAATGTATAAACCATAGAAATATAACTATGGTTTCAACGTATCCACACTCGCATGCACCTGTTGCGCAACTGATTTGATTTAAACATGTCAATAAACACGTAAAGTTTACCGAAACAAAATGATTTGTTTCAGAAACACACACGTGATTGTGTTTCTGAAACAGTGTTTTAAACAATTATTTCTCAATGAATACGTGGCTTACAAGAATTCACGGGCGTGGCGATGTTGGAAAATCCTCGATTGACGGATTGAAATAAAAAGATCACAGTACCTATCGCCTCTAGGTATTTTATATCGAGGGTAAATAAGAGTGTAAAAAGCCATATACAGGAATCTACGGGTATTTTATCTTTTGCTTAGTCACCACTCACGACACCATCGGGATGTGGTGGGATGATTGAGATAGATTCTCTTACGCCGCCACGAAATGGTCTACAAGGAACTAAAACGTCCGAGTTAAATACATACAATTTTTTTTAAAGAATAAGGGTGACACACGAGCACATAGTCCACCCGATGGCAAGTGGATGCTGTCGCCCATAGATATCTACATTTATCCTCGATTAAGAATCAAAATGCAAATGCCGTTGTTACCTTTGAGGACTAAGATGGAATGCCTCCTTTCTAATAAAATAGGGTCCCCGGATCTCTACACTCACTATACGAAACACAGCAGTATTAAGCTGCTATTTCAAGCTGGATCCTAATTATGAAAAAAGATATAATCACGTTTTATATTTTACGTTCAAGGCATTTTTATTTTATTAATTAATGTCCTCCAGACCGAATTTCGGTTACGGCGGCCAGCCTTAACGGAGATTGGTCATCGGTGCAGGACAGGATTATAGTGCCTAAGTGTATGCACAAACAGGTGCACTCTATTCCCTTACTGTCATAGTCCAACGGGACGGTAACCCGACACGACCGGAGCGATATCAGCCGCAGGACCAACGGCTTTCCGTGCTTTCGGAGGCACGAGGATGAGCCGCCAACTTCCTGACTTCGGGCAGCTACTTAGAATTTCTTGACGGAAACATTCAATTACTGATTTTTTGGCTCGACTCGGGATTCGACCCTGGGACTTCAAGAGCAGCACCGTTTACAACTACTAGACAGTCATTTTATATTGTCTCCCTCATAATGCCGGCTTCTCATTGCGTGTGTTATCACGCGCCGCGCCGCCCGAGTGGATTTACATGGCGGCTTCTCACTGCGTGCGTTAACACGCGCCGCGCCGCGCCCGCACGCGCCACGCGCAGTGTGAACGGATTGGCGCGGCGCGGCGCAGGCTGGCGTGTGCTATCCGTTTGAAGTCGGTAACTTCAAAAGCGCGGCGTGGCACGGGCTCGAGCGCCGGTGCATGGACGCGCGCGGTGCGGTTTGTGCTTACAAGAACGTCTTAACTCATCCGACGTTGCGGTACTCTTATGTTTATATATATATGAAGTGGTCTAATGATTGCTGTATTTTTAATTTTATAGGAAAGCGAACCCTCTGTGTGGTATTCGAAGAGTTCAGAGCTTAGAAACAAAAACGACCAGCACGATGCCTGGCTACGAATTCAAAAGAATTTAAAAGATGGTACCATACTGTTAAAAGAAATTAAAAAAGGATACTTTAATGGGAACCTGTAGAAAATTAAGGAGCAAAGTTTCCCAATCAGTGAAGTCCGGCAGCGGTGCTAATGAAATTTATATGACTGGCCATTTTATAGTGTGATGGCCCAATTTTTTGTGTTGTGTATTATACCAGGAAAACAAAGAATTCTGAGGTAAGTACTTTATTTACTTAAAGTTATTTAGTTTTAAAATTACGAGTTACATCGATTGACAGTATGTAACTTGGTTTAATTGGTAGGTATCTATGTGATTAGTTATTGTTTTTATTCTTGTTCTGATCTCAGAACAAGAACTAATCACATAGATATGCCCATGAGAACATGAATAAGATAGTTACCGACAATCTGATTAATTCGGTCAATTGAACAAATATCTATAACTATTTATATTTATATTAAAATATTTAGATTTAAAAGCGGTGTAAATTGTGATTGTACAGTGCACCCGTACATTTTAGTGTGTAAGCGATTTATTTAGGTCAACATAATTTGCGTCATTCACTTTAGTTTTGAGCAATGGACAGTTGACGTTGTCGCTCAGAACACGATAGACGCGTTCTATATCATTATCAATATCATTATATAATATCATTATTTATTTTAAATAAAATCATTTTTCCTATCAACTATCATTTAAAGGTGTTCGTACATCTTTATGGTCCTTCGAGCTCCGTAGCGGGACCTGAAATTCGGGTTTTAACGACCGGAAAAAGTGTTTCCGCTCAGTGACCTATTGCGACATAGTGCACTAAGTGACGTGTGCAAAAGCTTTCCAGTCTGTACTAATAAGTGTGCAGCATCATTTCATTATCAATAAGCTCCGGCCATCGGTGTCACAAAGCATCAAGGATCAAGCAGCATTTGTGGGCGTAGCGAGTCTTGGGGCACCGCCCAGCAGTAGCAGCTTGGAGTGCATCAGGAGAATCTAAGTCTTCGTTGGGTACTCACCACCACTACAGCACGAACGCGCCAACCACCTCTGCACAATCAGCAACCAGCATCACATCAAGTAAGATCTTTCCATTTTACTTATCTCTA